CCAATCAGGTGGTCTAATCGCCTGTGCGGCGGACTACTTAAATTAGACAATGACTAAAGTTGTACGTGTAGCTTGTTATACACTCTTCATGTAATTACAAACAGTAGGGACTATCAATGTATATCCCATATACAATTCTAATAAAATTCTTTCGGCAATGTAAGCCGCCTTAATAACAAAAAAAAAAAAAAAACAAAAGATATTTGCTATTTGAGAAACCTCAAACTATACAAGAGTAGAAGATATATAGCCTGCTTCAGAAAGGATAAAACTTTGTATTATCTAGCAGAATACAAAATCTACTAAAAAATATAGAGGAACTTAGAAGAAGAAACTCTATATTTAACAATTCTCAAAGTATTAACAAAGTTGGATCTATTACTCGAGAAAGACATATTAAGGAAGACACTCTATAGTGAAGACCCAGAAGAGAAGATACATATTAGAAAGATATACCTTAGAAGCTTTATAAATAAAAAACAATATGCAGATATATGTAAGATAGTATAGTCAAAAAGCAAGACAAACAGAATATTAATAAGTTTTATTAAACAATTCTGATCTTATTTTTATGAATGATTATTGAGGTTCAAGTGTGAAGTAATAGTTGAATAGGAAAAAGAAAACAATATTACTACTAAAGAGAAAAAAAGAAAAAAGATAAGAAAGAAAGAAAAGAAGAATAAAAAAAACATATTTCTTACAAATGAAACAAAGAAATTAAAAAAAGAAAAAGAAACAAGAATTCAAAAAGAAGCTTCTAATAAAGTTAATAGATAGATAAAGTCTGGTGATAAGGAAGAATAGTTAAGGTTTAAATTAAATTAGGAGATTTTGATATAGGCTAGTAGTAGCTTCTCATTGACTAAGAGCTAGAAATTTGTATATACAAATTTAAACTCTTACAAGAGAAATAGTTACTATAGCAGATCATACTTAGATGCTGAAAAGTAACTGAGTAAGTCTTGAATAGTTTTAGAAAAGTAGTTTGCTGTAAATAGTATAACATTTTACTTGTAGCTTAAATTAGCTTATTCTTAATAAAATAACAGACAAGATCACCTAAGTAAAAAAAAAAAATAAAAAAATAAATAATTTTAATATAGATACATAATAGCCTTCTATTAATAATTAAAAAATATTTTTATATAAACAAGTTACTTTTTTAGTAAAAAAATTTATTATTGTAACAATTACACTTGAATACTTTAGATAGCTAAGTGAATTCAAAATTAAATAAAAAGAGTAGTTATATAGTTTATATTTTTTGTTATAACATTTTATATGTTTTCTTATAGTTTATATTTTTTGTTATAACATTTTATATGTTTTCTCTTAATAAATGAAAAGCAAGATCATTTAAAAAAAAAAATAAAAATAAAAATAAAAACATATTTTACAAAAAACCAAAGTTTCTATAAAATCATTAAATATACTATAAAAATAAAAATAAACAAAATTAAATTTCTATACTTTTTTTTATAAAAACTAAGTTAACTAAAATATTATTATAATAAAATCTCAAAATCTGATTGGTTAGCTTATTGCCACCTTTTGCTATAGGCGTTTTCATGTATGATATGATTTTCTCGACACCTAATACATAACTCTAAATCAGGTTAACCCTAACCCGAAATCGGGCCAACTTTAGCTGTCGTGGAAGAGGCACCGCATACGTATGGGATTGTTGCCAGTAGAACTCTTCAATTGCCGTACTAGGCATATTGGCACCTTGGCAAGTACTAGAACCTGTGCTAGCACAAAGGACCAATTCTTACAAATGTGCAAGGCATTTATAGACGAGCACAAAAGTGCTGGAGGCATAAAGCGTGCCGGGTATGCAGACACCTAGTCGTCAATAATAGGTCTTTCAAACTTACAATCCGGATATAAAGTACAAGTCATTCTTGTTATCTTCACTTATTATATTGAGTGAAAAGTTAATAATAATGGCAATGAATTAGAGTTGCCTGCAGTAATTGTTTTTAACAGGTTGTAATATTGCAACCTATATGGCAACCCATATGTCGTAATGGTTGGAATTAATTACGGCAGGCAACTCTACAATGAATCTAAAAAAAAAATTCTTCACTATATCAAGAGCTTCACTATATCGAGAATTCACTATATCGAGAGTGATTGTATTACTCTATGCCTATAAAAGTATTCAGAACACAGTTGGGATATCGAATTTACCTGGAATTTTGAATTATTGAGAAATTAAATTTAATATTGTCAATTCAGCCTTTGAGATGAGGGGAATGTTTCAGGAATTTGGAATGATCCTATGAGATAATCTTAAGAGGAAGAGATACCCAAAATATTATCTTATATATGACATGAATAAAATTGGCCAAGAATAACACTTTCTATAAAAGGCAAATTTGCTCTAACTTTAATTCCGAATTGAATTGTTTGTTAAAGAAGAAACAAACAATAAAATTTTGTTAATTCTTATTATCAATCGTTCTTATGAATACAGAGTTAATTGATCATATCGGTTTTGTAAATCTTTACAAGTTATTTATAGTACGTACGTAAATTTTTTATGGTTGGCGGTCATTTTAAGGTTTGAGACCAATTAATTATATATGCATATGAACTAATTATGTAATCAGCCAGAACTTGATCTTCCGGGGCTATGATCGAAAAGATTCATCGGAACTATCCAAATTTGATCACGAATGATCAAGAAAATAAGGTTTTAACCATATAATAATTTGCATAGCAAAGGACTTTTTGTTAACAAAGAACCCAATTGGTTCATTTATTTTTTCATAGAATTAGAATATCTTGCTGCTAAAAATTGTTAAGCGTTTATATAAAAGCATTTATTCAGATTGGTTATGGCATTAGTATTTCAATAATGAATCTAGAGTTTGCATATGCAGAAATGCACCAAATTATGTACGTACAAATTACTAAATAAGTTACGCAGTTTCGGACGAATGAGTGAAAATTATGTTAGTTAATTTTCTCTGATTGTCAGATCTGCTTGATCAGAGGACGAAATGAAATGATCTTTCCTCATAATCATTGTGATGCGATGAAAAAAATCACGAGATAATTGATGTGATGGCTTTAAGGAATTATTATTATTAACGTTAATGAATAAAACCTTGTTAATCATCATTACTCAAATAATGAAAATAATTTATTTATTATAAATGTGAAGCTCAACTACATATGCAGTATGATCATAAATTTCAACGAGTATGTTGACGGACGATTTTATTTAAAGTTATATCTGTTATTTTCTGACTGAAATTAAAAATCTTTTTCACTGCCAAGTGAACATCCTAAAAATAACATTAATAATTTTTTTTATTGATTCATTAAGTTAACTTGTTTAATTAAAATCGTGACACTTAATAAATTTGATATAATTGGTACGTACGTAGAATATAAATATTTTGCTGTTAGTTTATTTGGATTTTCACTATTTCAATTCTTTCATTTAACTTACATAAAGGCAATTCGTTTACTTACATTCATCTTTGACTAAAAATTAAAGATTTTCTCTTTTTTTGATACAAACATTCACATAAACATTCCAATTTCTCTTTTACATACTTGAAACGTTATTTTCCATTCTTTACCGACTTCAGCTTATGCATGAAACCCTGCAGATTTCAAACACATATATAAAGTAACTTTATTTCCTTTGCAGTTTTCGTTTCGTCTTTCTTCTATCTTTCGCTTTTCTTTTGTATCTATCCTTTAAATAAAAATCTTTCTTTTTTCTTTTCATTAATGGTTCTACTCTTTTCGGTGTATCACTTTTAAAACATTCTAATTTATCATACATCATACATTAGTTTTTTTTTTTTCCTATCTGTAATCTTTTGATATTTAATAATCTGCTATAAATATGTCTACAATCCTTTCAAATGCTTGGGTGGAAATAACCGATCCGCATACAAATGATGTCTTCTATGCTAATCCTGTATGTCTCTTTCTTTTATGTCTTCTTCCTGTTAATTTTTATATCATTGACCTCTTGGTTTATTTTAACTAGCAAACCGGAGAATGTGCATGGGAGAAACCATCTAACATGACATTGTAAGTTCGTCTCGTTTACGATTATTCATCTAAGAATTCTTTTGATAGAGACTAATTAAACTTATTATATAGGCATCAAAAAGATCCGACAGGTGAATGGTGGGAATTATGGGATGATAACCATCAACTTCCTTATTATTATCACACAACTTCCGGACAAACCGAATGGATTCGTCCAGAATTTGGAACGATTATTCCACTGACAAAAATTCAGGTAATTAAATTTTGTTGACATATCTGGCAATTTGTTATTTAAATCCTTTGTCTTATTAAATTGGTTTATTTCAGAATTCATCGATTGGTAAAAGGATATCGGTTGCCTTAACCCCATCAGATGAGGAGATTGATGTGAATCAGATACAACAAATTAATGGGTTAAGACATGCTAACGCTGTAAATCCAGAACTCTCTTCTGGAATGTTGAGCTTCAACTATGTTTTATCAAAACACCACTCGACTTCGTCAACGGTCTTGTCATCCTCGATGCTTAAATCATCAACTTCAAACCAAGAGCCACTTGAGGCTGTGCGGAATGATATGGATTCTTCGAATAAAAGAACTAATCAATTAGGGATTTCGTATAATTCGGTTTTAAGTAAGGAAAATCTTGCAAACGATAATATAGGCTC